AAATAACCAGAAGATCTATATTACTCATGAGAACAAAGTATGAAACCAAAGCCACATTCAGGAGGAAAATTCATAGTTTTATAAGGTACTGATTATAAAACAAGAAAGAATAAAAATAAATGAACTGAATATTCAAGTAAAGAGATTGAGGAGACCCAAATCAACTTTGGTAGACATTTGTTGTTGCTGGTTTTTAGATTTTTTTTTTTTGGCTGCCTAGCCTCTGAAGCTTGTTCCTATCTTTGGGAAATCCACCATGGTGTGCATCTTGAAGGCTGGGCACATCATCCACACTTAGCACACTGGAACTTTGCGGCTGGAGGGAGTGCCTGACAGAACAGCCTTCATTCTGGCAGCCACATCCAGCGTTCAGTGGCAAAGCCATTGCATCCCAGTCAAGCTGCTTCTGGATACTGTGTCAATCTCAGGGCTCTGATTCCTAGTTCCTGTTTATTTCCCCCACCTGTTCCCCCCACACCTCCTGTGAATCTCTGGGCTGGTGACATCCTTCCCCAAACATTCTTTTCCAGCTTACATTACCTGGAGTCAGTTTCTATTGTTAATAACCTCGAACCCTGAACAGTCTTCTGAACAAAACTGAAGGAATGTAGAAGAATAAAGAAAGAAATCAATGAGAGAAAAAAATCTATAGTAATGATAAGTAAATTAAAAAATTATTCTACAAGGTCAATAAAATTGGTGAACTTCCAATGAGTCTAATTACAGAAAAATTAAGAAAAATCACAAATACTGTTACAAAGGAAAAAAAGATGTAGGAAGGATTCCAAAGTTTAAAATGATGAGAATGGGATCTACAGCTCTGCACTTGATTAATGAAGGAGATAAATTACCAAAATTAACTGAAGTAGGAAACTTGAATATACTACCAACCATGGAAGAAATGTCAATAGCTATATTTTTTTAAAGAACTCATCCCCTTCTCAAAGGGCACACAGCCAGATTGGTTTAGGAGGAAGTTCCTTAGAACCTGCACTATTTAATCCCCTCTTGGGCATGGAGAAACAGGGCCGTGGAGCACATGTAGCCCTGGACTAGCCAGTTTATACAAGGGAGACCCTCCAGTCCTGGACCCCCGCTGGCTCTCTGCCTCAGGGAGTGGGTAGCGTGCAGTGGAGCCCTCTGTAGAGTGGGGTTTGGACTGTTATGTGGACAGGTCATTTTGCTGTGCTGTTCTGATCCAGCTGTCACCACTCTTACACCTTCTGCTTATCTATCTGTGGCCGGTGTCAACCATGACTCTGCCAGTCAAGGCCACAGTGCACACACTAGTCATACTAACCAACCCTCCGACAGAGGGCCCTCATCCTGCCATCTCCACTGAGTTCATGCATTTGCGCTGGTGTCAGAGAAAGAGCACTGCTGATTCCAGTCCACAGCCTGGAGTCGAAAGTGATGAGGCACGGAGTGCTGTAGTTACCTGCCCCGTCCTCACTAAGATGAAGTCAGGAAACAGGACTCAGCCCCGACGGGGGGTTGGGCGCTCCCAGCCAGGGGAGAGGCTCCCTGACTTTTGTCCTGGAGAAATGCAATAGCAGAGGGGACACCAGGGCGCAGGAGTAAACCAGAAGTGTCCGGGGCAGACAGGGGCTGCTGGTCATCCCAGATGGGACCTGGTGAGGACCCAGAAAGAGGAATTTCTTTTAAGTGGAGATTGAAGGAGGAAGATGTTTGTTTTTTTTTTTTTTTCCCCAGCGTAACGTGTTGCCAAAAGTGGGTTCTAGGTCTTGGGAGACCTCATGTCCTTTGGAGGCCAGATTCAGCGAAGACGCTGGACCTGTTGGGGACAGCTTTGACACGAGGGTCAACGCAATGCTGCCTCATGTCCCTGGCTGGACTTCGGCTGTGAGCGCGTTGACCTCTGGACTTGCCCAAAGGGGGAGAAGCTCTATGACTGACATACCTGGGAGGGGTTAGCGAGGGAGCCTGATGAATTCTCCCGGGTGTGGAAAGCGCTGTTTATGGCACCTTGAAGATAGCTGCTCTTAATGCAGGTGACAGTGGGCTTAGCGCAGCAGGGAGGCGAGCACCTTGTTTATGAGTAAATCACTCCACAACTCCAGGGCTCCCAGAGGACCACGACGTTTGAGCAGATTGTCCCCAGAGCGCTGCGTGGAGAGAAGAAAGCCCCGCCGCCCACAGACCGCCTCCTACTGCAGGTCCCTTGTCCTGTTGCATCTCTCCTTCCCTGGGCGTGTTTCCGAAAGTCCCTTTCTCAAAACGTACGCCTACGGAAAATGGGCGGAGAGAGGCACGTTGGCCATGAGCGAATGTCCCAGGAGCGCAGAGAGGTGATCCCTCTCCCCGTAGCCATGACAGTCTCAAAACCAGACCCAGGCCGTCCCGCGCCAGCGAGCAACACTGTGTGGTTCCGCTCCCCAGGCCCCCAGGACACTCCCGCCCCGCGTCCGGCTCCCCTTCCTCGAGCTCAGATCCTCCAGGTCCCCACGCAACAATGAGGCGTGGGCGGCCCCAGCGGCCTCATTTGCATACCGCCGCGGCTCGGCCAATGGGCTGCGCAGGGGCTGCGGAGCGCAGTGTTGCCATCTGCGTGCGCGCGTGTGTGCGAGTGTGACAGCGGCTGTGGCCGTGGCCGTGGCCGTGGGAGGCGGGCCCGGCGGAGCCCAGCCGCGCGGGACCGGCCCGGCGCCCGCTCCTCAGCGCGTCGCGGCCGCGTGGCCGGCAGAGCCCCGAGACCACCCGGCCCGGCCGGTGGCGGCCGCGATGTCGGTGGCCGGGCTGAAGAAGCAGTTCCACAAAGCCAGCCAGGTAGGGAGGCGCGGGAGGGGAACAGGGGCTGCGGCCCCCCCGGCGCCCGGGCCTTTGGGATTCCGGCTCCCCGAGGGGCCTTGCTCGGGGCTCCATTTCTTCCCGCCGAGGAGGGCGCGAGGCGGGGTGAGGGGCCGCCCGGTCTCTCCCCGGCTGCTTGGCGCCTCCTCCTCCCCGGCCCCGGATCTACCCTGGGCCGCTCGCTGCAGAGCTGAGAGGGTCTGAGCAGAGCGCGGGGTGGCGGGCCCCAGGGGCTGGGCGCCGGGAGAGTGGGCGTGCGGAGGCCCGGAGGCCTGCCCCGGACGCGCGCTGGGAGGGCGACCCTGGGGACTGTGAGGCCAGCCGGGCCTCCCTCGAGTCCCCCGTGTTTTGGTTGGGGGCACCTCGTGGGAGGCACAGCCTGCCGCCTCCGGGAATGCGGTCCGGGGACTCGGCGCCCGCCTGGGCCCCGCCGCGCTGCCCTCGCGCCTCACCACGGACTTGGCCAGACTGCGCCTGGCCCCCGGCTGCGGCTCTGCGCCGCGGCCCTCCCTCCCCGTGTCGCCCCGGGCTGGCTCCAGGCTTCCGACGGCCTGGTGGGGAGACCGGGAGCCAGACACGTAAACAAACGGTGCCAGACACACCTCCGCGCGCCGAGGATGCGGGATAACACGGTGGGGGCGTTAGGGAGAGCTTCCCGGAGGAGGAGATATGTCATCTGAGAATTAAGTATGAAGAGAAACTGTGGTTGGGGGTGCGGGAAGAAAGGAGGAAGGACGTTACGAACAGAGGAAACAGGAAAACAGACAGGGAGACTAGCAATGGATGTGTGTGTGTGTGCGCGCGTGTGTGTGTGTGTGTGTGTGTTGATGACGAGCAAATTTGTTTTCCAACATTGCAGTCTCTTCCAGCTCCGGCAGAGCTCACGCTGTGAAACCTGTTCCCCTCCAGCAGCAATGCATACGATGCACCCCCTGCTTCTCCAGCGCCGATTTTGCTAGAACCAGGGTGGACAGATTTCATTCAGATTCCACATTTGTGATGAAGTTTCATCCTGCTTCTCCCAAAAATTGACCTGTGAAACGCAGCAGGAATGAGAGGGTTCTCTTCTTGTAGCCTCAGTCCCAGGCCGAAAGGCACTGCTGCCCCCTCACTCACACCCCTTCCATGACGAAACTGGGCGATGCTGTTTCTGGCTGGGGGCACTGTGTGGACAGTGGTGCTATTCAGGGCGACCAGGAGCCCTGGAGGAGGGGCCGGTGGGTGATAGTGGAGATGGTGGCTCTAGCGCTGTCCCCGGAGCACTTTCAGGGGTCTTTGGGATATTGATGTCACTGGCCTGGGGTCAGGTGCATATCCTAACCTGGGGCTCAGGGGGTGAGGCCAAGACTGTGGAGCTGCTGATTTGGGGGGCATTTCCAGACTAAATGGAGATTTTAAAATGTAAGTGCAGACAGAAATGAGAAAATGCACACTGGGCTAAAGACAGACTCTAGAGAGCACTCACATTTAAGGACAATGTTTAGCTCAGTACTTGAGCAGTGACCACACAGGGCATATTTATTGAATAAATGAAATTTTGGTGTAGAGCAACACAGGAAAGAAAGAACTAGTAGAATGCAGGAGAGAGATTATCATAAAAAGAGGATGTGAGTGCAGGAGCAATCAACAAGTGCTTCTGTGGGCTGAGGACTGAGGCGTGCTCTCACCTCCCTGGGGCAGCCAGGAGATTGAGTGCTGCTGTGGGCAGGGCAGCGCCAGAGAAATCGCTCGCTGTGCTTGTTACCCTGGCTTCTCTAACATTGGCTGGGAACAAACCTCCTCTTCTGAAAAATATTTTTTTATTGGATACAGACCTCATAGGAGCAAATCTCAGAGATCACCAAGACAGAAGTCCGTGGATGACTGAAGTTGGTTGCTGACCACTAACCAGAGTGAACGGTTGAAATCCTCCCAAGTTATTGGCATTGGAGAACTATTTTTCTAAGGTTGGGTAGTTTGGTTTAACTACCCATAATCGGTCCATTAAAAATGAAATGAGCAGAGGGTCTAATTTAGCTTTTTATTTTCATGAGCTAAAATCATTTCTGACTTCATCTGAAAGGAAAGACATCACAGATTCTCTCTGGGCTTCCTAGCCACACTTTGTAGTTAGAGTGCTTGATAGATAACATTTTTAATCTTTTCTAGAAGTCCTTCTAAGAAATCTTGCGATACAACCGATTGGTGGAGAAATTAGACCTGGTTTAATATAAGAGGGAGCACAATAATAAAAAATGCCAGATGTTCTTCTCAGAAATCATTTTAACAGTGAGTTTTAAT